TAGACGGTGCAACTTTTGCCTACAAATGTCGCATGCAACACACGTAAGCCATCCTTATAACATGGCTACAACTGTCGTAGAGATTAAAAACAATTGTTTGATAACCCTACGACAGTTGTTGCCATGTTGTAAGGATGACTTACGCGTGTTGCATGCGATAGTTGTAGGCAAAAGTTGCACCGTCTAAATCGGCCTTTAAGATGAAAGAGTTTCTAGACTTAAAATTACTGTAAAACAATAGCAAATCTAGCTACATTGTGTATGGCTAATTCAGAAAATGTTGACGGATGTATTCCAAGACCAAAATGCATTGTCGGTCGTTCTATCGCCGTTCAAAAAGAGGTTTTTTTTATTTTTTTATTTTTCGGGGAGGGACTGTACCAGGTCCATACAATCAAGAGCTTTAATTTAATATCATACATGTCCAGCACTGGCCTACGGTATCCCCTGTTCTCCATACGAATCCTCTCGTCCCTTAAGCCGGGGATTGTCCTGGACAATACCCAACTTTCCCTTTGTCCTTTGGGTGCAGACTGCTAAACTAGTGTGCCATTACTCTCCCTTCATCTCTTTAGGGATTGCCATGGACATCCCACATAATAATAATAATAATAATAACAATTTTTATTTAAACACGGTAGCTCTATCAACTTTACATTGGTCTCCCTGGCTTATGTGCTTCCTTCAGGGTTAGACTGCTAAACAAGTGAACCATTACTAATCATAAGACTTTTCTGAAATACAAATCATGGTGCATGAGTACCGAAGTGTGACGTCACAAAAATGTTTTTTTTTTCGAATTTTCCGGATTCGTTAATTAGTTTATGAACCAAAGCAAATTTACAAGCGTTTGTATGTGGTCACCCGACCATAAAATCGCTCGTATCTCCGCTGTTAATGACACTAGGACTCTCAAATTTTGCAAGAATGCATTGAAAATGATGCACTTTCAGAATATGGATGCCAAGTTTGAAAAATCAGAAAATTTTGTTTTGTGASGTCATCACTTCGGTACTCTATTGTGGTCTAGCTTCAGCACAAACAACGCCATATTTGGACACACGAACAAAAGATATTTGTACCAAATCTACACCTCAAAGCAATGCGTTATGCTATTTCAGAAAAGGCCTATATGGGATTGTCATTTATAACGCAACAATTGGAATGAACTATGCAGTATTCAGTATTTTMATTTCCTTTTTCGAAACAGCAGCTGAAGAGAATATTTGCCTTGATCCGGTTGTTATATCTATCGGAGGTTTTGGAGGAGGGAGTAAAGCTGGGTGATGGTGTGATTGTTCAATTTCGATAAAACCTTTTTCTTGCAATTTTTTGCTGTTCTTGCCACTAAAGAAACGAAACATTTCAATCAAAATAAACTGACAGCAAGGAAGGAAGCCCCGGGTTGACAGCTAGCTCAATTACGTTTTTTACAATAACCTTGGACTAGATGAAACGCAATATGATACAGTCAACTCTCGGTATTACGGACACCCTCAGGACCGTTGGTGTCCGCAGTAGCGAGAGTCCTTAGTAATGGGAGTTACTTTCAGTCATTTCTTTGTAATTTTGCTGGGGATTAATTATTTYATGTCCGTAATATCGAGGAGTTCGTAATGACAGGGTGTCCGTAAGGCGAGAGAGTATATCGTAATAGATTTTAGAGCGTACCCTTTATCAACCTAACGATTGTGACAGCATATATTGACTGTTCATTGTTGCCGAGTCTCTCCAAGTCCTTTTATCAATGAAGAACTGTTTTGTCAGCTGTGTATTTTATAGTTAGAGCTATTTGCTTACAAAGAGAGCAAAAAAAAAGTATTACATGACATACGATTTTAAATTTAAATTCAATTTAATCCTATAGCTAGTTTTGGAACAGGTGACGCAGTGAATATTGAGAAGTTCATTCCGTTTTTTGCCACGCATGTGTGCATGTGTGCTTATTAATTGGCTGCTGAGTAGAGTGTGTCAATAAGAATCAAGTCACTCTCTGCTGATGTCTTTTAGTTTCGTGCGTAAGTTCCATTGAAAGAAAAGAATGATAAAGTGTGTGACTTGAATGACTAAAAGTGTGTTAAAAAACAAATCATTGAGCTCGGCTTTTTGGTGTATGTCCCCTTGATACACTCTTGACGTTATATAATGTTTAAAACTTCACAGTGAACCCACTTGAGTTTTGAATAGCTTATGACGTTAAGAGTCTGTCAATAAGAGGACTCATAATAGTGCACAATGTTTTTAAGTATCCAAAAAGCCTTGATATATYTAGCAAAATATTATAAAAACCTGTAAGTGTGTTMCAATTTGGAATGACTGTAAATATGKGAAATTCRAAACAAGCAAAATGGTATAAGACAACTCAAAATAAAACAATATTAAAATGAACAACAAAACCGCTTAAAGTGTTCGTAAAATATTAACATATTAATTCAACTGAAGTTTTGAGGGATGCAATTATGGTGATTTTTGTTATTCGRCAATCTATACAACTCTCGTTGAAATTATCTCTAGGTGTTTGCGTCGAAAGAAATCTATTTGTTGATGAAGAATGGGGAATTCCGTTGACAGAGGACATTTTGAAGTACTGCAAATTGGGGGAGGGGGCATTGGGGTTTTCGGATACTGAGTAGTCGGCCGGAATTTGCCATTTTTATTGAAGATTTTGGAATTGTTGTTAGTTTAACTGCAAAATGGTGGGACTAGCGGTAAACTAGTGTGACCTGCGTCGGTGTTTCTAAAGAAACAGTTGTGTAAAAGTATAAATTTAACACCGTAAAAAAAGTATGTGAGATAACTTACTGACGTTTCGGACGTTAATCCTTCGTCGGAGTAAAAGTGGTGAAACTACTTTGCTCCTATTGATCTATTTTCCTTCCTACTCCTACTATATAAACTCACCCTTTACCTAGTTTTATCACTTTTACTTCGACGAAGGATTAACGTCCGAAACGTCAGTAAGTTCTTTCACATACTTTTTCTACGGTGTTAAATTTATCCTTTTTACAACTGTAGTTACAACTGTTAATTTAACTGCGTCGATCACTCAAAGCGTAAAATAAATTAAAATGAGGGACCACTCGATGTAAAAGATTTTTTCTAGCGAATTTCAACTTGATTCCCTATGTTTCCCTCTTTGCAGGAATTTCCAAAAATAAGGAAAATTTCTTTTATCTGCTGATGATTGTGATGTAGTAAGTCTTAGTCATCTTATAGGATACGATTTGCTTATGAAAGAAGCTTTAACACTACAGTCCTATAATTACGGAACAGGTGCTTTACGTGACAAAAAATCCCTCTCAACGTACACAAAAATCCGTACCTGCAATTAGAAAGGCAAAAATTATTTAAACAGTTTGAGCTCTGGTAGAATATGTGTTTTCCTAGTTACTTTTATTGAAAAACAACCAGATATGTCGAAATTTCCAGTTGAATCAAAAGAGCAACGCTACCAAAAGAATATCCTATATAGATAGACATATCTTCTGCTTCAAACCTTAACAACACTTTCCAAAATATTGTAAGTAAAGACTGAGATTGCCTTTATGGGAGTTCCTGGATAAATGGTTGGAATTTGCAGTGTCCCTAAACACATCCTCGTGGCTCGTGCGCGCGTATTAAATTTTTTGMCGACCAAATTGTCAAAATGACCTCCGACATATGCCATAAAGGTTGGAATTTGAATTGTACCTAAACACATTGAAATGCATGCTCTCATAYGTATCATACCCATCATACACTGTCATTTTTGCGTGAAATTTTCTTTTTTAAAATCCTTCCAGTAAAAAGCAAAACCATAATTCTAGTGAATTTACAAATCTAGTAAACATGACTTCTCACTTTTCCCTTCAGGACTTTCAGCTGGGGTGTATATTACATGTCGGTTTTTCTGATTCAAGCAAAATAGACATGAACGTAACCGTATAMCTATATTCTCAAGAACTGGAATACAAAATGAAAAGCATGAAAAAATGAAAATATAGATAACAAAAACAGGAAAGAACCTCTTCTTTTCATAATCGCATCACATACTTCAGTTTACACTAGTTGTTATCTGCGGTTGTCAAAAGCACCTGTCATTTGATATATGTCTTTTGATATCATTGTTTCTATGAAAATCACATTCAAGAACCGTTTAAACATTTAAAAAAGGTTGAACTCTGATATCATACATACATGAATGCTTTTAGATTATATTTTTGTGCCTATATTGAATCACCATGACAAAGTTAGCGTTGCTATGGCGCGGACGAATATTCTTTACAGGCTTAATCAAAGGTATTTTTTGGACTCATTGGCACCTAATGGTATATCACAACTGAAAACGTAATTTAATATAAATTTCACGTTCTGGAAATGTTAGGACCGAGCCTGACGGGCCAGGAGGGTTGTATGAACGAATTCTCCTYTCAAATGCTAGTTTCTGTGGTAATACCATAATGCTACAAGCCAAAACAAAACATAACGTCAAAAATGTTGTTTTTATTAAAATGACAAACCATAATTCAAGCTCACATTTATATAGACTTGAATGGCATTGATGGTGGTCAAGGTGACATGCCTTCCTTAACAATTACTTTCAAAGTATTGCAAAGGCAACCAATTTTCTAAGATGGCATTGAAAGACAAAAATGTTAGTTTTCCATAGCAGCATAATTGACGGAATCATTTTTTTTTTGTATTTTATCATGATATGACATGTCACTTCATTATCYGTTTCTAAAATTAGGATGAAGTTACGTTTGCACATTTTGCTTACATATCATACAAAAACTGTCATCGCATTTAATAAAGTTGTTGTTCATATAGACATAGCTGCTCACAGCACGTTCGCCGTTCACTTTTGTTATGTGTTAGGTTCAGATAACAAGATTTAGGCAGAGCGTGGTGATCATGCCAGCAATTGTTACACAAATTGTGAACAGCTTTGAAAAAATATTTACAGTTAACGTCATCAAGCTCTCTGAACATCGATCTTACCGAGTCATTTTGTGTAGATATCCGTTTTTCGAGGATCTCGTTTAGATAATTATCTGGATGGAAAGCTTATATGAAGAAAAAGCATAATTGAAAAATTCGAAAACCAATCTGCACCTGTTTTATTCCCTTGAACGACTGATTTCCATATCAATGTAGAGAAATTAGATCTACTTATCTTAATCATGGACTAGATAAAAAAACAAGAAAACATCTCCTTGGAAGTAAAACTACAACTGTGCCTTTCAAACAACAGCAACAACAAAAGACGTTATTCGACAAAGGTGAAAATGACTTCAAATGTCAAAAGCTTGAAGTATCGAGTTATCTGCAATGAAAACAATTTGTCTTTTAGAAGCAAAACTTCTCATGGAAGGCGAAATAGTTTTTTTCTTCCAACGCATTTGGAATTGTTCCTTGGTTCAGTTTCGCTCAGAAAGGCTTTTCTCTTTACAATGATAATGATAAATGGAATTTCACCTGCAATCCTTGAAAGTGTCTATCCAACACCGTCTTTGCRGCCAACAGAAAGTTCAACTTCAAGTCGAACGCAAAAACACACCTTTCSAACAGCTTTAACCGTTCTTCAAAGCCTTTCTCTTTCGTCGTGCTTATCATCTAAAGAAGCAACTCAAAGATCTTCACAAACTGCGGCTACTACACCCCAAGGTCTGTCACCTCAACCATCATCTTCCACGGGGCCAGCAGGATCGCTACCAACAACAACCTCACGACATGCATCACAATTACCAAGACCCGGAGGAACTCTACCACCATCGCAGACACCAACTTCAGGATCTGAAGGACCTCCACCTGCACCACCAATACCAGGATCGCCACCACCATCGCCACAATCAACCACAGGACCTACAGGACATCCACCGCCACCTCAAATCCATGGATCATCACCATCTCCATCATCGACCTCAGGACCTGCAGGACCTCCGCCACCACCACCACCACCAATTCCAGGACCACCACCGCAACCACCACCAC